TTGGATCTTCCTGCCTCGGCCTCCTGAGTCCCTGGGATTAGTGGTGTGCACCACCACACTTAGTCAGAGCTCCTGTGTTGGAAAGGTCATTTTGATTGAAATGTCCTGGTACCTTGGGGTCCATTTATGTAGTATTATCTGTATAGATCCTTTAATGGAAATGTCTCTCCTACTTTGAATACTTTAATGTAAAAACTATGTTACTATAGTTTCATAGTAACTCTTGAAATCACTGTGAGTTTTCCAACATTATCCTTTTTTTTTTTTAAGAGAGAGTGAGAGAGGAGAGAGGGAGAGAAAGAGAGAGAGAGAATTTTTTAATATTTATTTCTTAGTTCTCGGTGGACACAACATCTTTGTTGGTATGTGGTGCTGAGGATCGAACCCGGGCCGCACGCATGCCAGGCGAGCGCGCTACCGCTTGAGCCAAATCCCCAGCCCCCAACATTATCCTTCACTTAAAAATTTATTTTGGGAGCTGGGGTTGTGGCTCAGCGGTAGAGCGCTCACCTAGCGTTCAATCCTCAGCACCACATAAAAATAAATAAATAAAATAAAGATATTGTGTCCAGTTACAACAAAAAAATAAATATTTAAAAAATATTTATTTTGGGAGCTGGGGTTGTGGCTCAGTGATAGAGCGCTTGCCTAGCACATGTGAGGCACTGGGTTTGATCCTCATAAAAATTATAAATAAAATAAAGTTATCAAAAATTTTATTTGGGTTCTCAGATTGTAGCTCAGTGGCGGAGTGCTTGCCTAGCATTTGTGAGGCACTGGGTTTGACCCTTAGCACCACATAAAAATAAACAAAAGCATTCTGTCCAATTACAACTACAAAAATTTTTAAAAAACTTATTTTGACTATTTTAGATCCTTTGTATTTCTATATAAATTTTAGAACTGATTTGTCCATTTCTGTAGACAGCCTGGTGGGAATTTGATTACGGTAGCATTGTAGTTACATAGCTTAACAAAACCTTCTGATCCTGAATGAACACACACACAGTGCTTCATTAATTTAGATTTTAATTTCTCTCAGCAATATCTTATAGTTTTCATGGTACTGGTATCACTCATATTTTGTTGATTTTTTCTTTACTTCACATTGGGGATTTTTGGCATAAAGCCTATTTTTATTTTTTGCTTAGAAAATATTTTTTTAATTGCTTTTATTTTTTAAATACATGACAGAATGCATCACAAATCTTATTACACATATAGAACACAATTTTTCCTTAGAAAAATCTTAGTGTTAAATACATATAACATAAAAGTTACCATCTTTACCAATTTTAAGTGCATAAGTTTAGCCTATTTAATTTTTTATGCTATCATAAATAGCATTTTTAAAAAATTTTTGCAATCTCTAGGTGAATAGAAATATAAGTGATTTTTGTGTATCAGCCTTGTATTCATCCCTGTTGCTAAATTGATAGCCTGGTTATTTCTTTGTAAATTATTGGAGGCTATTGAACTTCAGATGTAATGATAACATTCATTTATTTCTTTCTGTGTACCTGGCATTACTGTAAATAGTCTGCCTAGGTTAGGTTTCCATAATTATAATAAACACCTGAGATAAACCAAATTATTAAAAGAAAGGTTTTGGGGGCTGGGGATGTGGCTCAAGTGGTAATGCGCTCACCTGGCATGCGCGGGGCGCTGGGTTCGATCCTCAGCACCACATAAAAATAAAAAAATAAAGATGTTGTGTCTGCCGAAAACTGAAAAATAAAAAATATTAAAAAAAAAAAAAAAAAAGAAAAGAAAGGTTTTACCTGGACTCCCAGTTTTGGAGGTTTCCATCCGTGAGTGGCTGGCCTGTGGCTCTGGGCCACATGTCCTGGGGGAAGTATGTGGTGGAACAAACCCTCTTACCTTGTGACCAGGGAGCAACAGAAAGCAAGGAATTAGCCAGGTCCTTTGCAAGGGCCCCCAGTCACCCACAGTCGTGTTCCTGGGCCCCACCTCTCAAGATTTCCAAGTGCCACCTTGAGGACTAAGCCTTTACCCACACGGGCCTTTGGGTGACACTTCAGATATAAACTATAGCAGCGTCCCTCAGAGATTTACTTTGATTCAGTCAGACCCACAGCATCCCCAGGAGACTGTCTTTGGAGGCTCAACAGTTTTCCCGTGGTCCCATGACTCAAGTGTCATTGGAACCTTGGGATGGGTAAGGGCACTTAGGACGGCAGACTTGGAGTAAGGCCAAAAGTTCCTTTCTTGAGCACGAGCTGTGTGCAGGCGTAGTGCTGGGACCTGTTACTGGGCATGGACAGCGCAGCCTTCTGAGGAAGAGACTAGGTGACACAGGGGCAGCTGCGGTCACAGCTGTGATCCTTGAGGCTCAGGAAACCTGAATGCTCTCTTCCAGTCTCAGGGCAGGAGAGCATGGCGTTGAGGGCTCAGACCTGGGGCCCGCACTGGGCTCTGCCACTCACGTGACCCTCAGCAAGTCACTAGCCCTCTCTGAGCCTCAGATTTCTTTTTTTTTAATCTGTACAGAATCTGTCCACCACTGTGGTATGTCACTTAAGTCAGCCCTTTATGCAGAGTGGCTCTCTCTTTTTTTTTTTTTTTTTTTGGGGAGAGTGGCTCTCTCTACTTGTGGCCTGCAGACGGGCCCTGGCCCAAGAGGAGAGAAGCACAAGACGGAGCTTATATGTGACTGGAAACTTTGATGACAATTTGGACATTCACACTGCATCCAAGCCCATGGCCGTGGCGCAGTGAAAATTAACAAAACAGAATAAAACTGACCGTCTCCGCAGATGGTTGGTGGAAACGGGGCTCTCACCGCATTTGAGTCAGCCTTTTGTTCCTGGGACCAAAGTACCTGGCAAGAACAAGTTAGAGGAAAAAAAGGTCTGTTTTGGCTCATGGTTTCCATGGACCGAGACCAGCTCCATCCCTTTGGGCCTGAGATGAGGTAGAACATGGGGATGGGAGAGCTTGGCAGAGGAAAGCCTCTCCACCCATGGCATCCAGGAACAGAGAAAGAGGACGTGGGCCAGGGAGGAGAAGGACCTACCCAGGGACCTACCTGCTTCCCTAGCACGGTGCCACCTCCCAGCAGTCCCTCCAGCCATCGGTGGATCATCACATGATCGTCTCACGTCAGATTGGTCATGTACACAGATGTAGGCATGAGGAGAAGGTGCTTCATAGGTGGTGACAAGATGTAGGCAGGAGGGTGGACCGTGGCACTCTCCTGTATGGGCTCCAGGTTCCCACCTCCTCTACCCCTGCCTCCAGGCCTCCACGTGTCCTCTCCCTGGCCTGGTACCTGGGAGGAGTCCTGGCCAGGACGGCGGCCCCTGGGGTCAGCCCACCCACAGTCCATCTGCCTGTGGCACTGTGACTTAACCCTCTCGGAGCCATCTTGTGAATCTGGTGGCATCCTGTGACTTTGGCCTTGAGGACTTCAGAATTAAAGTACCCTTCCTGTGGGGGCAAGGCTAACCCCAAAATGACCCACTCCTTCCTTTTGTACAATTGTTGATGGGTGCATCTGAGCAAGTGCCCGTCGAGACATGGTACCTCTCCTCAAGGGATCTGCAGTTGGGTAGGGCAGGTGGATATGCATCAGTGATGTAAGCTGCTGAGGCAGGGAAAAGCCCGACTGTGAAGAGATCAAGGCCGTAGTGGGGGGGGGGCGCACAGGGAGAGAGGCAAAGCTGGCTGCGCGGGGCAGGTGCCCGCTCCCATCTCTGCAGAACCTGCCCTGATCCCTGCAGATCACAGAGTGCCATGGTGGCTGTGGTGGGGGGGTGGGGTCAGTGGCCGCCCCTGGCAAGGCCCTGGATGTGCTGAATTTCTAGGGCTCTGGGAAGGCCTAGCACACTATCCTTCTGGCCAGAGGACAGCCACCCTTGTTTTACTCAAGGGGCTATGGGACATTTGGACTGAGCCCGAATGTCTGCAGCAGGTCGGCAGCTGCCACACTGCATTGTCTCTGCAGCTCGGGGCTCCCTTGGCCCAAGCCACCGGCGCCGTGTAGCTGTTGCAACTTGTAGTATCTGTTCACAGCAGCTCTGGGGGGAGGCGTGCCCTCTCCTGCCCTCCTCTGCTTAGACCTCCCCCTGGCCCAAACCCCTAGTCGTGTGTGAGCTGAGGTGCAGAGATCTAGGAGGATGTCGGCTGTCCAGGTGGCTAGACAGCGTGAAGCAGGGCACAGCTGGGCTGATGGGCAGAGCTGGGATTGCTCACTCAGGATGTTCCCGGGGAGCCAGGTGGCTGTGCTTGGGTCACGCTGGGTGGTGGGAGGGCACACCCCTGTGGGAAATCGAGGGGTGCCAGGAAAGGGAAAGGCCTGCGCAGAGCCCCCCGTGGCCAGGGTGCGTGTGGCTTGCCAGCCCGAGTCTTTCCCTGCCCCGTGAGTGGGGCAGCCATCACCCCCCAGCACTGTAGCTTTCCCTGTCCTGCATCCCTGCAGACTCCTGCCCCGTCTTCCTCAGCACCCGGACAGCAGCTGCTTCAAGTGCTCACCCTTTGCACTTGGGTGGAGGTCAGGAGCCCCTGTGGCTTCTCCCCCCCCCCTCAGACGGCTTCTCTGCGACCCTTACAGTGTTCTGCCACTTACAGTCTGATTGCACCTGACCTGAACCCCAACCCGCTGGAAGCTCCCCGAGGGCAGAGCTGCCTTTGTCTTTCTCAGGCATGTCGGGGAGGAAGCAGGACCTGTGGGGCATAGCACCGGCCAACGTGGCTGTCCTTTGTGGGGGCATGTAGCCCTGGAGGCACCGGGTCTGGGTTTGTCACGGCCCTGCTGCATTCTGACTACAGAGTGGGGACCAGGGACACATGGCCCCCAAGTGCCAGCATCCTGGATCATCTTGTCCCCCCTGCATAGAGCTTCTGAGAGCTGGCCCCTGGCATCAGCCCCTTTTCTTCTTAGTGCTGAGGTCCTAAGCTGTCCCCCCCTTGGGAAGGGCCTGGCTGCCCCAGAGCTGCCTGATGTAATTTTGCTCTCCTCCCTCCCCGTTGGCCTCCAGTATGCCTGGGTCGAGAAGCACTTCGGTCCCGACTTCCTGGAGCAGATCGTGCTGACCAGGGACAAGACTGTGGTCTCCGCTGACATCCTCATAGACGACCGGCCGGACATCACGGGCAAGTGGCCTATGGCAGGGAAGGCGCGGGTGGGCCGGCCTCGGGACTCATGTCTCCCTTCTCCCCAGTGGTCACCCCTCAGCTGCCTCCTCGCCCCTGCCTGCCTATGCTGTCCGCAGGAGCGTGTCAGGTGTCCACTGTGCAGCCCACACTGAGCTGCCTCCTGGGGACTCCTGGGGTTGGGATCCGTCTCCAGGTTTAAGCTTCATTTGCTGGGTGGCCTTGGGGAGTCACGTCGCATCTCCAAAGCCTTGCCTCCTTCCTCATGGAGAGCCAGGACCTGGCTCTGGTTTTCAAACCTTTGTTTTTAGTTAATGCCCCCCTCCCACCCCCAAACACTTTTTTTTTTTTCTCTCAGAAGCAATCTGGACTGAGCCTAAGGTATGGCAGGCAAGCAGAACTTGGTTTCTCTGGCTGAAGGTGTTTTGGAATTGCATTCGTCCCTTTTGCTTATAGATGCCCCCCTCCCCCAAATGAAACAGTAAACCTGACTTTTGAAAGAAGAGGACAAATCACTGGTTCACGTAGCTGACAGGGTGGGGTAGGAGAGCCTGGGGCCCAGCTGAGTCAGCCTCCTGCTCTCCGGGCCCTGCCCTGGCCTGGTCTTGCCAGCATCTGCGGGCAGGGCTCTCTCTTGGTTTCGGTCATCAGTGGTTTAGGGTCGTGGGCTGCTCTTTTGGACACCCCCAATAGGAAGAGACTTTTTCTTTCCTAATGGCTTTTGGAACTGGTTTGGAAACATGTCCATCTCTTCACCAGACCTCTGTGTCCAGAGGTCCACGGGTGCATTCACCCTGACTTCATGGGTGGGCCAGCCCCTCCCAACCATGTGGATTCCCAGGGAAACCCAGGGTCACAATTGCCCATGGGGACTGTGACCTCCAGGAGCCCAGAGGCCACTTGGAGCAGGAGGAGGCCTGTGGGAAGGAGCTGGTGGGGGACATAATCTGAAGGGGCAGATCCACCAGCAGCACCCGTGTGGACAGAAGGATGGAAACTCAGGGGCCAAATGGCCAACAGCTGCGTGGTTGGTGCCTGCCTGTTCCTCCCCCACAGACCAGCGCTGGGTGGCTGGGCACAGAGAGGGCAGGGAAGGCTGGACACCTGGCTCAGCGCAGACCCTGCCCGGCAGGTCAGATGCAGAACACTGTCTCCGTGAAGAGTCAAGCGCTTCACACGTGCTGCACCAGGTGTCTGGCGTGAGGTGCTTGTTGGGTCCTCCTGCCTCCTGTGGCAGGCTCTGGCGCAAGCACCCTTTACAGGAGAGGAAACTGAGTCATCGAGGTGCACTGCCCGCCTGAGGATACTCAGGATCTGGTCCCCGGCTGCCCCTGGGGCCCCGGCCTCTGCACTGAGCTGTTACTTTCTCGCCCACAGGGGCGGAGCCACACCCCACCTGGGAGCACGTTCTCTTCACGTCCTGCCACAACCAGCATCTGCAGCTGCAGCCCCCCCACCGCAGGCTGCTCTCGTGGGCAGACGACTGGAAGGCCATTCTGGACAGCAAGCGGCCCCACTGAGCTGGACTACGCTTCGGGCTCCTCCACGGGGCCCTGATCTCAGGGCTCCCAGCTCGGGGCCAGTGGGACCATGGGGACAGCGCTGTGCTGGGCCCCCCCAGATGTCTGGATCACGATGACCCCCTGCTGCGTGGCCCTTCCCTTCCCGCCCTGCCAGGCCTTAACCTGATCTTGGGGCAGGGCTGGGCGCCCTGGAGCCTGGGACAAGGCAGTGTGGGCTGACTCGGGCACTGGCCCTTAGCTGCCAGGTGAGGAGTCCAAGCCACTCTTCAGAGGCCCTCTGTGCCCTCTTGGTAAGTCCCCTGAGGCGTCAGGGGTACACTGGTTCCAGGGTCACAGCCCATCAGCAAAGAGTGCCAGGAGCGTGACCGCCAAGGTGCTTCCGGTGGGCATGAGCCCCTCACCACCTCAGCTGTGGCACCCCGCGTCCCACCTGGCCTCTCCAAGTGACCCCACGTGTATTTAGAGAATCCTCAGGGGGTTCCAGGGGCCACCAGGCTCCGTCCTAGGAGACAGCTCTGGCCCTGCCTGTGACCAGCTCCGAAGTGTCTCCCTCCCCTGTCCCCGGGCCCACTCCGCCCAGGAGAGTCAGTAGGCTTGAATGTTTGCGGAACAAACGAGAAATAAATGCTGTTCACATAGGGCCTGAGCCGTGGCCTCCTGTAGCCCCTGCCCACGATCCTCTGGCGTCTGGCCCCCAGGGAGCCCTGCTGTGTGTCGGGGGTCCCACGTGCTGACGAGGGGCAGAGGAGGGGCACGGCTTCCCCCGTGCTGGGCCTCCCTAGGTGACCTCATGGGGTTCAAGGTAGGATGACCCTGATGTGGCAGAGCCGGCAGCCTTGGGGGTGTCCTTGGTCTACCCACCCTGCCCTGGCCCTCCCTCCACACCTGCCCTGTGCCCCCCCTGGCCCACACAGTGGGGTACAGGGCTCCCTGCCCCACCCCTCCCAAGGCCAAGCTCCTGCAAGCTCCCAGGAGCTCCTGTTAGAACCTTGGCTTTTGTTCCTCTCGAGCCCCTGGGAAGTGACAACCTTGGGGGCCTTTGTCCTTAAAGAGAACATAGGTTGTCCACACCCCTAATTTGTCCCTCTGGACAAGCCTTTCGGGGCTGCTCTGGGGAGCGAGGCCAGGTGGGAAGGCAGGGCAGGAAAGGCACACCCCGGGCCAGGTGAGCTTGGTGACCTCCCGGCTCTCAGGGTCTCATGGCTTAGGCCCCGTCTCTCCAGCTGAGGGAGCAAGGGCCCCTCTGGGCTTGGCCAGTCACAGCCGTCCATGGTGCCACATGGCAGCTTGCAGACTCTGTCCCTACCTGGGCTTTAGCCCTTGGACTGAGGGAGGGGCTTGGCAGGTCATTCTGACCAGTGATAAGTTGGGGCTATGCCACATGCTCCAGAAGCCACCAGACCTCAGGGCCATGTCCAGAGGAGTCCAGGGCTCAGAGGCCCAGCTCCCCAGCTGTCCTAAGATGCCCTACTGCTGTGACACAAGGTGAGTCACTTTCTTGTGTTTCCTGGCGGCTAGATGTGGCTGTCTTCCTCTCCACCTGCCCATCACCTCTCCACCTGCCCATCACCTCTCCACCTGCCCATCACCTCTCCACGCTGCCCACAGCCAAGTCCTCATTGGGGGTGGGGGGTCCTCCAGCCTGGGCGGCCCGGGACCTTGCAGCCTCCGGCCACAGCACTGAGAGCACCTTCCCCAGGACTTGGCCCTCAGGGCTTTGGTGTGGAGGGGGCTGTCGTGCTCCTACTATGTGCTAAACCCAAGGACACAGCAGTGAATGAGGTGCCGCCAGCCCTGCCCTGAAAACACCGTGACCATAACTTGGGGAGCAAAAAGCGACTTGCCTTCTTTCTGCCATTGACAGAGGAACAAACCTGTGGCTTCCTCAGCCCTGTCGGTGTTTTCCTCCTCCTCCTGCCCAGGGAGCACCCAGGCCCAGGGTGGACTTCACACAGGGAAGCCTGCAGGTCTTGCATCTGGTCTCCAGCAGTCCTTATCCATGTGCTGAGGACATGCAAAGCAGTGTCCACTGACCCTGGGTGAGCGGGAGGAACAGAGGCCCCTCTGTTCACTCATGTTGTAACATACTTAAGAGCAGAGAGGGGCGGCCTGGTCTCCTCTCCTGCCTGAAATTCCTCCTCGTCTGCACCCTGTCTGTTTTCCCTCTCTCGCAACCCAGGGGTTTTTGTCCCGGGCTGGGCTGGCCCAGCTCTTCTGTCTATTCCTACAAAAGCTACAGCAGGAAAGTTGGGCTCCCAGTCTTTCTGGACGCTGGCTCTGAGTTTTAGAACCCAACCCCACAGCTGCTGCGTCTGTTCTCTGCTCAGCCAGCGTCACTCCCCCAGGTGCAGACCCTTGAGCTGCTACAGTTTAAGGAGGAGAAGTAACTGCAGGGGAGAAGATGCTTCGAATGCAGTCCCACCCGCTGAGCCATCTCCAGGTGGACATGTGGTCAGGAGCAGGAGGAGGGGCCCCAGAGCTCAGCTCCAGGTTGGCCCTTACACAGGCCGTGCCACTGAGGTCTAGGTGGGAGGGAGGGGAGAGCCCCCGGTTGCAGGGACATGTTGCAGGAGAGACTGGGGCAGGAGGTGCAGCCTGGCCAGAAATGCAGGGCGTCGGACACTGCCACGCCTGGGTGCTGCTGCCCACAGTGTGCCAGGAAGAACAGGGTGCCCGCAGCTGCCAGGACCCAGGCCAGGACCCCAAAGCTTCACGGTCTTGTCGGATTTTACCTAGTTTAGGAGTCCACTTCCCCACAGGGGAGCTGAGCTTGGATCTGCTTCCAGACAAGACCAACTGGTCCTTGCCCTGGGGACACCTGGCTGGCCACTGGTCCCTTGCCTTGTGACACCTGGCCGGCCTCCTGACGGCTCTGCCCTTGTCAGACTTTGAGATTCACCCCGTTGAGTACTGAAGCCAGGTGCAGTGGCATGTGCACCTGTAATCCCAGCTACCCAGGAGGCCAAGGCAGGAGGATCACAAGTTCAAGGCCAGCCAGGCAACTCACCAAGACCCTGTCTTAAAATTTAAAAAAAAATTCAAAGAAAGGCTGGAGATGTAGCTCAGTGGTAAAGTGTCCCTGGAACCAATCCCCAATACTGCAAAAGAAGGAAGGAGAAAAAAGTTTTGTAGTTTGGAGGTAAGAGTGTTTGTCTAGCTTGCATGAGGCCCTGGGTTCAATCCCCAGGACTGAAAAAATAAGGAAAAAAATGGAAGAAAATGAAATATTGGAAATATTCAGAAACTCTAGGACGGGAGCCCCTAGAAGGAGCCACATCCCCTCGGGGGAAGGAGATGGGGAGTCTGCCATGACAGTAATGTAGGGGGCAGGTGGGATGCCCAGGCCATACTCACGGGTGTGAAAGAACCTTGCCTCTGCTTTTTGGTCCTGGCAGGTGACAGAGGCATCCCACTCCCAGGGTATGGGGCAGGCCACTCCGGGGTGTGGGGCAGCAGAGACCCAGGTCTTTGCTTCGGTCAGCCGTGTGCAGGGAGGGCGTGTAAGGGGCTCAGGGCCCTCCTGCCTGGGCCACCTTCCTCCTCTCTGCGGGGCTCCTTTGCACTACTCCGGTCCCACTTCTTGGTCTGGTGGAAATACCGCCCATGCACAAGGAGCGTTGGTCGGGTGTCCTGCCCTCTCAGAAGGCCACACGGAATTGCTGGCCGACTGTTGAGCTGTCACGACATCACTTGCCCCTTACTGCGCACTTCTTCCACGGGGTGCACGTCCTGTTGGGGATACCAAATAAAGGCAGGAAGCCCTCCCCGCTGCCGTGGCGAGTGGGTCTCTTGTGCTCAGGTGGCCCCTCCTTTGTACAATGACACTGTGGAGGCTCTGGGAGGCAGCCAGCCCGTCCCAGCATCTGGTGGCTCTTCTGTCAAGTCCCTTCAGCACTAGCCTCTGTGGACAAGTGGCCTGAGTTCCCAACAGAACCGGCCACAGCTCCCCAGCTGTCCCCTGCCCCGTAACAAGCACTGCCCACTCCCTGCCTGGGGCCTCGTCCTTAACTCCCTCCTCCCACCTCTCCAGGCTCATGCCGCCATCACAGGTCTGCCAATGGAAAGGCCTCCCGGCCAGGCACCAGACTGCCACATGCCCGTGTCAGAAATGCAGCTCAGGCCTGCTAGTGAGCAGAGCTTGTGCCCAGGGAGCCCAGGCGTGCTTTGGTGCAGGGGACTAAGCAGCATGTCCAGAACTTTCTCCACCTTCCTGGTTCATTGGACCCTGTCTCACTCTCTGTTCTTTTTCTCTATCTCCCTTTGGCTGGCGAACTCTTCCCCACGGCAGAGCAGCCGGCACCAGCATCTCCAACCCAGGCTCCATGCCCGGAGCCACCAGCTGGGCTCCTCAGCCACAGCAGAAGCATCACAGAAAGGGCCAGAAGGACGAGTGGTCATATTAATGGCAACTGCAGTAGCAGGATCTGTGACAAGGGCCTTGATTTATGCCTAACAGCCTCACCGCTTGAGGCTCATCGAGACTGGTGACTGGTATAAAGTCAAGACATCCCTCCCCCGAGCATGTCCAGGTCCTTTGAAGACCCAGGCTACAGATCAGAGCAGGCACCGCAGAGACTCATCCTGCAACCCGGGAGGACAGTTTCCAAATGAGATTTGCTTGAAGCATTTGGGTCAAAGCATCCAAATGCACAGGTGTTGGGTGAGATATGGCAGGACAAAGGATGAACACTGTGAGCACCATGGCATTTGGCTGGGTGCATCTTGTGTCAGGCCCCACAGGTGTGGGACGTCACCAACGGCACTTCTTATTTTTGTAGCACTGGGGATGGAACCCAGGTCCTTGCACATGCTAAGTGAGCTCTCTACCACTGAGCCACTCCCCTGGCCTGTACCACACAACCTTTCTAAGCCCTCGGGGTTTGTGGTTGGATTCTTAGGTGGGTGGGCACGGTCCTCTGCAATGGTTTGTCCTTCTTCACGAGAGCTCTAGATGCTAGGGAGAGAGGCTTTGGTGCACCAGCACAGGGAGCTGTGGTTTTGTCTAACTCACAGTTGCAGAGCGGAGGAGGAAGAAGAGGCAGCTTGCCGTTACAGGCTGGACCAAGTCCACCTACCTACAAGATGTGCAATCAAGGGCTAGGGTTGTGGCTCAGAGGTCGAGCGCTCGCTTAACACGCATGAGGCACTGGGTTCGATCCTCAGCACCACATAAAATAAGGTATTGTGTCCACCTACAACTAAAAAATAAATATTAAAAAAAAAAAAAAAGACGTGCAATCATGGCCTCCAAAGAAGCAGGCATCGGGACCCCTCCCTTGCCTGAGCCTCCTTGGTGTCTTTTTGACTGTAACATGGAAACATCAGGAAGTCCCTCAGGGTGCCGCCTGGCACCCAGCCATGGCCTGACGCTGGTGGCTGGGATGTCAAAGGTGCAGATGAGAGCCCGCTGTGGGACTTGCGGGTGGCATGGGCCCGCGCATGCTCGCTGTACAATCCAGGGGTTTTAGGGCGGAGAGACAGGGTGGTTTCTCCTGGGTCACCGTTTGCCTGTTAGTTGAGACCTGATCCCCGACATCACTGCAGCAATGGTCAACTCCTCAGCACTCACTTCTGTTCCAGAGGCTGATGAGCTGCGTCCAGGACCCCCAAACCACACCCTGGAAGCGGAGCTCATCTCATCCAGCC